GTTGGGGGCAATATGCTGACTCTGTAAACCGCTTAGAGAGGGCTGAAAGCCCTATGAAGCGGTATATAAGTCTAACTGCTAACTAACTAACTAACATTTCTGGGTGCTGTCAGCTCTAGATAAGGGTACCTGCACACAGTTCCCATTTTTCCTTCCAGAGTCATGAGGCTGATTCAAGTGTGTAGCTTGGTTAGTGGCTTGGCCAGGATGATACAGGTGATCCTGAAGTCCATTCCTGACATGGCAAATATCATGATCCTACTTTTTGCCATCATGCTGGTAAGATCTCCTCTCCTCGCCCTACGTTAAATTCTTTTGTCTGGAAATGAACTGACAATGACATGAAATTGTTGGAAGAAATGTCCTTCTGGGTTCAGTTCCAAGTGGGGGAAAAGACACTGGAAACATGATGCCGAGCTGGCCACGCCCTCTGAGGTCAAACACAATCCTGATGCAGCCCTCAATGAAATTGAGTTTGAAATAAGAAATCTTATTCCTCTCCTATGACTCCTTCCCTATGACCACCTAATTAACATCTCTCCGGCGGACAGGACCACATGGCTTGAGGTCCTGGGGGAAAAGGGGATCCCACGCTTCCAGAGGTTGGGTGAAGAAGAAAAGAGAGACCAAGATGCTGAAAGTCCCTGTTTTATGCCCTCTCTGGCCTTTGATCTTGAGCTTGTATTCTGATTGGTTGTCAAACTCCCATGGGGCCATACAGGGGCAACTCTGTAGGCTGTGAGTCCACGTTTGGTTGAGCATTACTTCTTCCCAGGTGCCCTGTGGTGAGATGGGTAGAGGGCTAATACTATCATGCCTTAATCCCATCACCCTGGAGCTGAAGGGGGAGAACTTTGTTATGTAGAGTAGACTGTCCCAGGCTTTTTAATGGCACATTGACAAAGGTGGGGACTATTAAGCGTGAGTCTGCTTCTTGCCTAAAAACATGTTTCTCCATTTCTGAAACCAAGGAAATATAATATTCTGCTTTTTCAATATTTCCCAGGATAATTCATTTTTCTAGGAGAGGGCTGGGTTTTATCTTCCTACAGAAGGACTAGAGGTGACATGATAGCAGTGTTCCAAGATCTCAGGGGTTGCCGCAAAGAAGAGGGAGTCAAACTATTTTGCAAGGCACCTGAGGGCAGGACAAGAAACAATGGGTGGACACTAATCAAGGAGAGAAGCAACTTAGAACTAAGGAAAAATTTCTTGACAGTTAGAACAATCAATCAGTGGAACAATTCGCCTCCTGAAGTTGTGAATGCTCCAACACTGGAAGTTTTTAAGAAGAGATTAGACACAATTTGTCTGAAATGGTATAGAGTTTCCTGCCTGAGCAGGAGTTGGACTAGAAGACCTCAAAGTTCCCTTCCAACTCTGTTATTATTCTGAACTGAGATTTTATTTTTGCCATCATGCTGGTTCAGCCTGGTGGGTTTGTTTATTTATTTCCCCATGTTTTTTATTTTATTTAAATGATCAAAAAAAGTTTTTGATTCTCCGTGATGCAACATTTGACTTCTATGTGTCAAACTTGGAGTGGTCTCCAGAATTCTGAGGGCCTAAACATAGCTTTAGGTTAAGTACATTCACCCTTTGATGATTTGACCATCTCAGGTAGACTGAGATCAAAGTATATCATATGCAATGCAAGAGATCAGATAGATGGATGTAGATCAGTAGTCCCCAAACATGGTAACTTTAAGACTTGTGGACCTCAACTCCCAGAAATTCTGAAAGTTGAAGTCCACAAGTCTTAAAGTTGCCAAGTTTGAAGACCTCATATATTGATGGAGAATTGCATAAAATCCCAAGAGATTATTCTTCCCCAATTTTATGTTTTCTAGCATACTTTCCCCCCCCCTTCCCGACTTGTCAGCTAGCAATGATAGCTGGGACTTTTCAAGACCGAAGTCCCATGTGTTTGAAAAGGACTATTTGGAAGAAAACCAGAATCAACTGGAAAATTTATTTATTTATTGAAATCATTAACATGGCGGCCCTTTTCCCAACTGTGACTCTCCATAGCATACCAAAGATTAAAAGCTAATAATTGTAGATAACAGGCTATAGCAGAAGTGTCAAATTCGATTTCATTGAGAGCCGCACCAAGGTTGTATTTGACTTCAGGGAGCCGGGGTGGGCTTGTCCACGGTGAGTATGGCCAGGGTGGGTGTGGCCAGCTTGACGTCACTCGTGTCTGGGGTGCCTAAGTTCCGTTTCTGGCTGCAACGTTCTCCTGCCAGAGAAAACGGAGCTTACAAGAGCTGCGCCTGGCCCCTCTGTTTCTGCTGGCAGAGCAGTGGTGGGTTATAGGCGGTACGCCTCGGTACGGGCGTACCAGAGCCTGCCCGGAGCACTGTATACCGCTCCAGTATGGTGCTCTGGAGCGCCCACTCACCTGCCTGAGCTCCTTACCGGACTTTTAAGTCTTCAGCGCTTCCGTGCATGTGCACGGTGTGTACAGCACCTGTACGCAAAGTCCACCGGTTGGAACGGGATCCGGAACCCACCACTGTGGCAGAGGCAACCTGAGCCGTCCTTCATTGTTTGCAGGATGGCTCCGTGGGCCAGATCTAAGCACCACACGTGGCGGTTGCAGCCTGCGGGCCTTGAGTTTGACACCCCTGGTCTGTAGAGTCAAGGGGCAGCGTTAAATGAGTCATCAGCCTAGAGTCATTACAGTCTCACAAACGATCTTAAGTCCAATGCTACTTGAGTTCTGTTGACCCTTATCTGGTGCCCATTTAGTATTCAACTTTAGTTGACTAGGTTCTTCTGTATAGGTTGCTTGACCCACAAATCTTTTGAACTACTTAATGTAGTTAAGTGAACAACTCAATATATGGTCCTGATTCTTTACACCTGACGAGAGGTATCAGAGAAGGAGAAAAACCTTCAACTTTGCCATTAGCAAGTGAGACTCATAGTGTGGAAAATAGCCTGAGGAATCATCTGGCTATTTCAGATAGTCTGTGTTTCTCAACCTTGGCAACTTGAAGATGTCTGGACTTCAAGTCCCAGAATTCCCCAGCCAGCATTTGCTGGCTGGGGAATTCTGGGAGTTGAA